ACCTATCCAGAGTGCAGCCCCAGTCCAACCCCAGCCTCCCCCCGCCCACACACTGGGAAGAGTCCAGTACAGCCCTGGTCCCAGCCCACCCCACCCATGCCTCTTGCAGATCTGGGGGCACATGCCTTCCACCCCCATGCCCTTCTGGGGTGCATGCAGCAGCAGAAGCTGCCCCCCACACTCCACGCCCCCCAGACAAGCTGCACCACTGTCTTTTGCCCCACCCCAGTTGGGAAGCGCCTGCCCCAGCCCCACTCCCTCCCTCAGCATGGGGGGCATTGATCTGCTTCCCCCATGCCCCTTCCTTCCCCCCTCCCCTTCCACCACAACAGATTTACCAGCTGGACACAGCTCTCCAAGCTGGGCTATGCTCTTCACCGCCTGCATGCTGCGCTGTGGCTGCACGCATGCACGAGCATTTATCAGCCACATCAGACCAATTTCTAATACACTCAATTTTCTTTATATTGGTGCGGATCCGATATCAGACCAGTGTATCAGTGCAACTTTACTACCTGTGCTATGTGCGTGGGGGAGGTAAGCAGGGGAAGGTGTGCTGGGCCACCTGTGCAGCAGGAAAACCCTGGGGGAGGGACCGCCCACATAGTGAGCTGCCTTCAGTCAATGACCAGCACCTTATGCAGCCCCCGGGACTGTGGCCTGTTCAGCAGTGGCCCCTAGCTTCCTGGAAATCAGCTGTTCTTCAGTAAACTGTGATAGGTACCTTTCCTATGCATGCACTAATAGAAAAAAATAAGGGGAGTTTGGAAGAGAGATGAAAGTATCCTTTTGAAAACAAAGATAAAAATGGAATCTTTCACTCATGCTGTTGTGAGTACTAGTTTTCTGTAGGTTTGGTTGGAGCCTGTGATGCACATGGGTCTCTTGTTAAGTGACAAACTAGTCAGGATGATTCCCTGGAGGAAAACACATCTCCCACTTCTGTTTCCTCTTGGTTGTTCTTCCAAGGAAGTGGGAGCCTTGTAGCCTTGGATATTGCTAACAGCACAAGAGGAAAAAGTCTATTTTCATTCTGCCTGACCTATGCTTTCATAAGGATCTTCTCCCCTTGCTGTCCCTCATGGATTGCTGTAAGGCCAGTTTGGTGACCTCAGGCGTCCGGACAGCCAGTGTGGTCCCATCCTCTCACAGGGGAATCCTTAGGCCTTAAGTCATTGCAGAAATTTTCAGTTGTTAAATCATTTAGGTTAAATTACAGTCTGACGATCTTCAAAAAATATGAAAAACAGGCATGTGATCTTGGCAGCTAAGGAAATGGACAACTGACTTGTCAATTAGTAAAAATTGTCTGTATACTTTTGTATTATCTCCAGGAATGCATTTTTTTTAAAGACAGTTATGTCATTGTGCTCAGAATTTGCTAAAATATTCTGGACTTTCCAATGACAAAGAATTGGGAACTAATATAAATTTCTAGCTTGTCCCAATGGCTTTTTGATCTAAAAATTAGAAGCCATTTTATTAGAATATATTTTTAGATGCATCAAAATTTTAAAAATATAAGTTTTTCCCATGCAAATCCATGCTTGTAATCAGGAAAAGGCATATTGAAGTGAGATGTCTGGGATGTTTCCAGCTGTAAGTTCTTACATCTGAAGTTCACTAAGAGCCAAGTAGGTAGGTCAACATTAACAGGCATAGAATTGACTGACCCAGCATAATGTTCAACCTTTTTTTCTTGGTGGGCTGCATGGGCAGTGCCTGGTCCAGCTACATGTCAGATCTGGCCAGTGGCCCTGATCTGGTGCCCAGGGCCCCATCTGGCCATATGGAAGGAGGTAGGGGGCAGCGTGGGCCCAATCCAGCTGCATGGGGGGAAACAGGCATGGCCCAGCCTTGATTCAGCCATGGTTGGGGAGGGGAGCATGGCCTGGCCCCCAGCCCATCTGTGCAGAGAGAACAGGGCATGGCCCAGCCCCGTTTTAACTATGTGGGACGAAGTGGGTCTGGGCTAGCCCCAATCTGGTTTGTGTTGGAGAGGGGGCATGGGAGTTTGATACTGGGGGA